TAGGTGTACGCACACAGAGAGGCAACGTGTGTGTCAAGGCGTTTAGTGGAGACCGGTGTAGAAACGGGGGCGGGGGGTGTATGCATGACGGTGTTGTTCCTTTCCGATTTGTTCCTGTCTTTTTTTATGTTTTGTTGTTTCTGTTCTTTATTTTGCTTTTTTTATATTCATTTTTCTTTTATTACCTATATATGCGTGCTGCACGATTTATTAGTAGTGGAACACTGCGATTGCGCAGAAGCGACACATGAACGTTTTTCTTATGTATACATTTCTACTGTTACGTGCTAACCGCAGCCATTCCTAATATGTAGTACAGGGGGAATATAATAAGCACGTGTAGATGGTCCATATAATGCTTAATATATTTCATATAGAACATTAGGGTAGTAGTTCAGATTGCAGCGTTGTTACTTACCGAGGGAGACACACTATGTCGGCTAGAAAGTTAGGGGAGTTACTGGTGGAGTATGTCAGGCGGCGCGGAGTTCACATGGACGACGAACAATATCAGGTAAGGCATTATGATTACCGGGACGCCCGGGAGAATAAATGCGGTTATGTGTACACGTAGCAAAGTAAGTGGAGGTATGCGTGAACCACACATGTACCGGCGTGATGAATCGGTGTGATGATTCTACTAGGGAGGACATATGCACGGATTGAATAATGTAGTCGTTATTCACTAAGGGCCACAGGGGACAAGTTCATGTAAACGGGTACTACATGTATATGCATCTGCTGTTAATTGTAGAACTTTTTAGAGAACGACGTTGTGTCGCTGCTGGAACAATTTATGAAGGCCCTGATGGACGAGAATTTAGATGAGTATGCAACGTACTGCAACAATGCGTTTTGGGAACATCCCAGTGACGATGGGGACAAACACCAACCACAAAGGGAGATGAAGGAGATAGGGCAGAGAGCTAGGTGCAGACTTATGACAGGAGCACTGTATTTTTTGAACGGGTGGGTACTACCATTACCTGGCAGTGAACGCATATTTCAGCATGACCCAGCACTCAAGAAGTACATCGCGTGTGCAATAGTAAACGTGTTCACTTATATATTGGATGAATCCACATGTGGCACGAAGTGGGGCACATATTATGCGTGGTATACAATGAAGAATAATATGGAGGGGCTAGATGGAAATGAGGTCGAAGCAGGAACTTGTCAGAAGGGAGTGTTTGAGGATATTAAGAGGGGACAATGGTCAATGAGTACAAAGATTGATGTATGGTTAAAGAAGGAGAAAAAGACATTAGAGCAGATAGGTGCAGGAGACATAACTGACAGGTGTAAGAAGGATGTAAGGGAGAAGAATCCTATGAGTACAAAAGGGGCACGGGAACATGCTAACAATACGCGTGAGGTTATAGAAAAACAGATAGAGGACAGATTAAAACAAGGACTGAAAGGTATAGTCAGCGAGGTTAAAGAAGGAGTCAAGGACAGAGTGAGAGAAATATGGGGCGCAGGGGGATACAGCGCCAACCCGGAGGACGACAACGATGACAATGACGATGATGAGGACGTAGACGAAGATGACAAAGATGAGGAAGCACAAAAGCAGCATACGAATGGTAAGAACAGCAAAGGCAGGAAGTGCTACTAATACGGGCAATACGAATACGCACAATACGAAAACGGCCACATACGCATACGGCCGCATACTACCACGGCCGGCACGGAAACTACCGCTAACGATACGACTGCGCATGGGCATGCCGCCACCACACAAACACACGCGCGGCGGCCACGACGGAAGCGCTAGCGGTTGCGGAGCGCACGCATATGAGTAGCGACGGGAGCGACCGAGATGACGGCGACAACATAAAAGTGTGCTGCTACCATCCACCACGACTCCGTTCACCGAGGACGCAGTCCACCTCACCGTACGCTTGCTGCCGCGTCACCCTACCCTGCCGCCCCTTCTGTCTGTGCCACTTTGTGTCCTTTTTTTTTT